GAATACCAAGGTCCGCCCGAGCTTACCCATCAATGAGAGGCGTCTCCGACATGTACTGTTTGGCCAGTTCTTGACTAGTCGCAGCAGCTTGCCGGTTACTCAGTGCAACAGGTACCGCAATCGCCACAGCGACTGCACACACAACAAGTGCGCCCACCACCACCATGATAATGTAATGTTTCCGTGTCAGATCCATGTTTCTTGCCTCGGTTTCTTGTCCCGGTTCCGAGATGTTTCCTACGCAAGCTCACGAGAGAATAAGTCCCTCGCACCTTTCGGTACACCTTTTTAATGCGCTTATGTTGGCAGATCTAAGGTGATCCCGTGACAGGTACAAAGTGCATGTATACAAACATTCGCTCGTACCCCCGCCCTGCAAACAGGACGCTGGGATACTCTGATGAGCTTCACAGAATCTTGTGAAGGAAGTGGCCTATGACCCATGTATAAAGCATCTGGCTGCAGCTGTTCAAGCCCACAGTTAGACAATGTGCGCAAATGCTATCCGAAAACTTCCCGTAGAAATGCACACGTTCCATACCGGTTGTGATTTCTTTTTCATTGCGGACCATGTGGACAAAATTGTGAGCGTCGCATAATGCAATCCGACTGTTTGTGATTCGAAACGGAGCCTGAGCAAGTGACGGGAATAAATTGTAAAGTTACAACACAGATAGGTTTTAAAGAATTTCCTACATTATTACGTTTTTCAATGAAAAAAAAATCTCTAAACTGGAATAAAAGAGTAATGAATCAGTCTTAACGGCCGTTTAAAACCTTGCAGAGTCATGACCGTGATGACGCGCAGGTCACATTGGGCACGCAGAATCCAACCAATCAGAGCGTGAATTTATCAGAGTATCCCAGCGCTAGCGTCCTGTTTGCAGGGCGGGGGTACGAGCGAAGTACAAACATAGTTATCACGTACTTAAGCGGTAAAAGTCAGCCAAATCACCGTACATCATTTCATAGTAGGGGGCGCTGTTTAAGATACAGACATATGTATTGTCAGTGCCTAATTCCGCACCCTGAACAAAATACAAAATGCAACGGCTACCACTAATGTGCAGCTTGTGTGGTGATGACTTTCAATTTTCGCTGAATTAGAAAGTGTCCGGGGCAACTATCAATAATAAGAGGGGCACTACTTTTCAATATTTTGAAACCTATGCAATTGAAATGCTTGAATGTTGCCTTCGTGGAGACACTGGCGATTTTGCCAACTGGTTATGGTAAGAGTAGGTTTTTTGATAGCCATGTGTTCAACTGTCATACATGCGCGAAGCTGTAATCATATTAAGAAATAAACAAGTATACTGCGCACGCGCAGAGGTGATCCAATCAATGGCCTTAAATAGCAACTAGCTGCCGGTCCCCATATTTTAGGGGGGGGGGGCAGTCTTTTTTCCTACGGTTTTCTTTTAACCATACACTTCGGCACTTTGGTAAATCCGATCGACTTCAAACTTAGCACACGTATAGGCAACCACCCGAAGATTTTTCGTCACAATGACGTAAGGCCAAAAAAAATAAGTCTCCGGTTTCTGGTATGGAGCTTGCCCAAAAAGTGGTGCGGCGACGCGGCTTTTTTTTTTTACCTGACTTTTTTGCTTCAAATGTCAGCTGATGACTGCAAATGGTGCCCGACTAAACTTAGTGAAAATATATGGGAGTCCAGAGAGGCCACATAAAGCTTATTCTCGATCATAACCCCATCTAAAAACACGTTAAAATTGTGCAGCAGCAGGATTCCAGTCAAACCAGTGAGTTTGGCGGTTTTGAGACATCATCTTTCATTGAAAAAAAACCTTTTTCATTTTGCCGACGCGCATGGCTACGGCAGGGCGCGCGCATACCAGAAACCGGAGACTTTTTTTTTTGGCCTAATCAGGTGTCAAGTTACGTCACTTTAAACGTGCATTTTGTAGCTATGACTTTGTACATGTTCGAAGCTCATTGTCAAGTCATTACAAATCATGACTACAAGGGTCCCCGGAGGCCGGGCGGTATGGACTGCAGAAAGGTCGTAAAGTTAATTCTCAAAAGAGTTAGGCACCTAACTCCCGTACATAATGGTTGATTTGACATTACTTTCACTTTGTTTTCTGGACTTTGGCCTTATTCATATGTTTTATGGTTTAATTGATCTAATTTCAGTTTTGCTGTTAGCACATGTAATAGTTAGGGAGTTGCTTGTTCTTCAAGTCTTTTGTCTATTTGCTTGAAATATCTGGACCATGCACCTGTTGGTAGTTTCAGTGGACAAAACAATATGTAGGCATACCTGTATGTGTGAGAATCCCAGAACAAAGATTTCCTCATGGTAGCTATATTAAGTTGGACTGATTTGAACATTAATATAATCTATGTTCCTGACGTAAACATCCGAAACAGCTTGTGTTAGTACCTAAACATATTTCTAGTTTTGTATTATAATACCTAGGAATTAGTTACTATTGACCCCGGTCGAGGAATGGCATTCGCCCCATGTTGTATTGCATGCACCACACACAGAAACGTTTCTGCGCGTTACTAGGCTCACTATAGTACACATGACATGCAAGCTGTGTGATACGTGTGACATGAATATTCATTTGTCTCCTGATCCTTTACCAATCAGACTGTTCCAGCCGAATCTGATAGCAAGTCCCAGAATTGTTTTTAAAAAAAGCCTAGAACATATTAGTTTTTTACTTAATTTTACAAAATCGGTTAGAAATCATTCTGACAAAACTTCTAGCAAGAAAGGGTATCCCCGTGCAAAATGCAACTTAGAAGGGTCACCGAGGGGTCCGGAATTAATCTCAAAGACAAAATGGCGAACTTTCATGGTTCTTGGTTCTTGGTTGGTTCTTCTCCTAAGGAATCCGCATGGGAGTAATAACAGGAGGCCAGAAACACCGGGACAAACCCCTTCTCTTAGCGATAAGTGCATGTTACTGGGTTCTTTTACGTGCGTTGCATTTAACACACGGGACCTACGGCTTTACGTCCCATCCGAAGGACGAAGCAATAATGGTTAAGTGCCTTGCTCAAGGGCACAAGTGTCCACCCGGCGGGCTCGAACCCACGCCACTGTTGCCTCTGAAACACCAGAGCATGAGTCCGGTGCTCTTAACCGCTAGGCCATGACACTCCCTTTCGGGCTCATCGACGACTTGATTTCAAGTCTACTATTGTATACATTCGTCCACCAAAACATAGAGCAAGCAACAAACGTTGCTTACATGGCTTCGCGAAATATAGATATGAATGGGCCGTTAAGGCGCGATGCTCTACAATGCCATGCAGGAGTCGCGGGGGGGGGGGGGGTAGGAGGTAGGAGAGGGGGCCTCTCCACCCCCCCCCCCCCCCCCCCAAAAAAAAAGGGGGGTAGGAAAAGGAAACGAGCAGACATGGGGCTAATCAAATTATGTTAATTTAATGTATATTAAACAACATAAAGGTTTTTTTTTTAACAAAGCGTGGCGTGATGTCTAGCAGCCCCTGTTGATTTGCCCACGGCTGGTGATTTTTCTATGGTGAGTGATTTGCGCCCCCCCCCCTCTAGAAAAAAATCCTAGCGACGCACATGATTGTGTCAAGATGATGTTTATTTGTTTATTCTGGTTAGCATTTAAATTAGGTTGAAGGCTGCGATGCTTGACTGACAGCACGTGGCTTTCTGCAAAGGAACACCTGTTTCAGACACTGTTTTTTGTTTGGGGAAGGAGGGGGTGGATTTCGTCTGTATATAAACATGGATTTATGTGTTTTATAGCTCCATGGTATAAATCACTACCGTACAAACTACAATAGGCAACTGTGTCACATCAGTAAGCTTTGAAGTCAACACTTGTGTCCGTTAAAGGCACTATAATATGATCATTTGCATTTATCCCAAAGTGAAGTAACCTACCGAATTATTATCAAAAACGTTACTTGGATTAAAGATAAAACTGGCACTTTTGGTACTAAACGCCCTGTGAAATTATTCCGTCTGGATTGTTGTCATGTATAAGAAGAAATCTAGCAATGTAGGTGATTTCCAACGATCAGTCAATTCAGATACATGTACATGTATATCGTGTTTCGTTAATCGTGATCAAACGGTTGTGCATCATTGTTTGTTTTTCACTGTGTTTTCGAAAAGGGTAATAATAGCTAAAACGTCAACAGGTTATATGTTTTGCACTTTGTTCTTTGGATTTTAAGTGGTGTTATTATGGGATAAGATGGTGAAAAGCAATTATCCTATTTGCCGGTTAATTAAAGGATGAAAATGACACTTTTTTTCAGACTGGCATATTCCAGTGTCACGCCAAAGCTTATTATTTCGAGCATTTGAATGGACAGATTGAGTAGGCTACATGAAGTTCGAATTTGTCGAAAGATAGACTGTTGCCGGTCATTCGGAAAGACTCCAGAGTCCAGTCAACATAATATGGTCAGTGGAAAATTAATGCATTCAACTCCCTCTCCCTATCCTTTTTTTTTTTAATGTTGCCCCCAAAATCGCTTTTGTTTTTAAACTGCTACATTTTAAAGCAGTACCAAAGTTATCTTTTTTTTATGAGACATGGAACAAAAAAAAAATCCGCCGAGGTTTAGTAAAAATATGGAATGTTTAATTTAAAAATTTCGAAATATTTGCGACCGGACAATAATTTAGGACAATCCTTCATGCATTTTTATGTGTTTTTTTTGTGTAAAAGCAACGCAAAATAAAGTGCATTTTCAGAGGGTCAAAAATTTCCAAATTAGAAAAAAAGTGGAGCCAACTGGAAAATTTGTTTGGCGAAACAAAAGTCGAATATGTTGTTGACCATGCATATTACTTAGCACGAGCAGAGCAACTTTAATTTCGCCTGTGTTAAACTTAAAATTGATCTTCTTGGTTGGTCGACCAATGGAGGTGGAAATACATGGGACACAAGCCTGAAACGTGTGGTCAGACAACAGCTACAGCGGAAATTTCCCATTGCTGATGATCTGATATTAAGTGGAATGTATTTACTCACCCGTCTATCAGCGGTGTTTCGGCCAAGTATGCCATCGCTTTATCCCTGCTTGTCATCACACCCTCGGCCGAATCTTGACTATTGACTACGGGGACGGCGATGGCTACGACTACCACACTTATCACGAGCAAAGAAACGAGAAGTAGGCCTGCACCAATGTAATGTTTCCGATTGAGCGACATGACTGTAGCTTCTGTATGCGGGTGTCTTCTTGACGCTCGACTCCTATAGCAAGCTGTCGGTAACTAGTCTGAACCCAAGCAAAACCACGACACAACAACAATGTCACAAGCATCGTTTGTGAAACACTGCATGTGACGTGTGACCTTCGTTATCTTCTGTTGCGCCCCTAGGCGCTCCTTGTCTTCATTAGAAGCAAACTCACCCTGTGCGAGTACCACACCCTTGGTTGTAAATGTGATTGATATATAGTTTGCGGCCCGCTAACTTGGGCAACAAGGCACCACTCAAACTCTTACGTAAGCCAGCGGGACCTTTTTTCAATAAGGGACTGTGCACGTAGTCGAACCACTTTTCAACTAATGTTAGCATTGCCAATTTGCCATATAGGTTCACGAGCTGACGTCAGTTCAATAATTGTGTAGGCCTAGCCACTATCCTTGGATGAAACAATTAGCGTCAATTATAACTGCCGGTCATTTGTTGGTATTACTAATCCCAATGAAATTGGTACCAGTATCTTTATCAATCTCAAATTATGCCATATATTCCATTCAGTGCATGTCATTTTCTCTACAAAAGTAATTATAATAACATTCTTTTTGTATTGAATAATAGTTTAGCAATGAACTTTATAAGTAAAAAAATAACTCAAATACCAGGACGAAAAAAGTGAAGGCAAGACACAAAGAGGCACTTCTAAATTACCCAAAAAGAAAAACAAACAAACCGTCAGTGAGAAACATTTGCATCACGAAAACAAAGAAAGTCCCAACCAGGTCATCATAATGAGAATCAACATCAATACATGGTAACTTTTACTGGAGTCTTGAAAGAAACCACTGATAACGTTTTAGATGGGCATTGAGTTGCATAAGGCGGAGGAAGTTTAAACTATGAGAATTGAAGAATATAACATAAAAGTTAAAAAAAAAAATTTGCCCAAGTTTATATGGAAGTACATGTATGACGCTCAATACCTGTCCGATCGGAAAGAAAGAGACAGTTTGGTAACTAGAAATACTTGGCTCAACAGTGGGTGTCCTTGATTCCAATGAGGCAAGCATTATTAGCATATAGACATTTATCATGATCACGCGAATACATTGTAACTGCTAAACCTTCAGACCTTTTCGATTCTGTTTTACGCTTATGTTATGATAGAGGAAATATTTCAAACAGGAAAGGTGATTTTCTTATTTTGTTTCTTAGCAATGCCACATAAAATGTGTTACTGTATTGTTCATAAGGCATATGTTAACAGTGTCCAATCATGTTTAGTTGGTGTAACACCTGTGTATGGTTAATTAGACTTCAGGAAATCCTGGTCGGTGTACGTAGACTGCATGTATATTCAAGGCCATGCGGCCAGTAATTGTACCGTGTGTGTTGGGTGTGAGTTGCGGCGCCATCGCGTTTGCATTTTAGCCATATTTGAGGGGTGTGCTTTTGTTCAACAGAAATATATCCACAGGAGTAGACCCTGAGCGCATTTCATTGTCAAGTAATTTACATAACAAAACACACCTCTGCGATGGCTGCTGAATGCAACCGATCAATACAGATATACTACAGAATGGTCCCCACTACCTTACCGATTGTACTTACAGCAGAGTTAACATATATACCCTTGAAAAGACGGGTTTACGTATATTCACTATACTGAAGGGTTTTGATAATTTTATAACACTATTTTTACTGATGACATCATCATCCGTTTAACCGTATTGCCACCTACATGTAAGAATAAGTGTTTAGCATTGGAAGATGTAACACATATTGTTTACATCGTAACCCCGAGTCTGTATTATTTTGACAAATTTGCCCTATTGAATTGAATTTCCGGAAAAAAAACCACTTACTGATATCACGTAATATTACGCCAATAATCTCCTGGTCATCCGTGCTCACTGTCATTTTCTGGGTGCGGTTGTTATGACATTGTGAACAATGCCTCCACACGCGAAAGCCGAGCTGCCAAATCACGTGACACATGTATAGAGACAATGTCCAATGTATTTGACTCGATCAAAAACATCCAAGAAAACACAAGGGCACCGGCTTGATGGTTGGAACGTTCAGACCATAACAACGAGCCTAACCGAGAACCTTCAAAACATCAATGATGCTCGCGAGACTGATGTAGGCCTAATCAGGTTGACATAGCTGCTACGTACCCTACAGGAGACCAGACTCGAAGGATCAGGCTGACCGTAAGGGGACTCTAGAGGAAACTATGGAACATGGAGTATGATTTACTGTTACAAACAAGTGGTTTACACGGATCGGAGAGACTTCCGAGACTCCGGCATCAAACTTGTGCATGACCCACGTCCAGCTAATCAGCGTTTTCGCCCCTACTCTCACGATTACACCAGAAACAAAGGATGGCACATTATACGACAAGCTTTACACCATCATCCAGCGAGCGAGAACAACTGTACCTTCTGGGTGACTTCAATGCCAGAGTGGGATGTGACCAAGACACCTGGCTCAGCTGTAAGGGCCAGTTTTACCTGAGAAGATTGAACAATAATGGGAAGCGCCTTCTTGAACTCTGCACTTACCATGATTTATGCATCACCAACACATTCCTTCAAACGAAGCCCCAGCACCGAGCGTCCTGGATACACCCCCGCTGCAAGCTTTGGCACCAGCAGAAAACAATCACCACCAGAAGTAGCAACTTACGCAATGTTCTGCGTACACGCAGAAAACATAGCACCGCCTGTGATACAGATCACCCACCTAGTATGCACAACAATTAAGCTAACCCCAAAGAAACAGCAACGCTCTTAAACCGAAGGAAAACCCGCATCGGTCTGGCAAGACTACTCTCCCAGAAGAAAGGTAAAAAATACAAATGAATCGAGGTCAGCAAAGATATGTGACGATCCAAGTCATAGAACAGAAGCGAACTGCGCTCACGGACTATAGCGTTCCCCACGCCAGAAGACCCTTGAAGCATTTAGTAAAGCAGTGACGCAGACAACTACGCAACTACATTCAGACCACTGCTGATTCAGGAGACAACAGGGGCATGCACGAAGACATAAAGAAGGTTATAGCGTGTACGCAAAAAAAGACAACTCCACAACCGGTGAAATCATTCACGACCGGGCAAAGCAGATGGAGCGCTGGATGGATCATTTTTTTTCAGAACTTGACCACGGGCGGGAGAACACAGTTGCAGATAGTGATCTGAATGCCATGGCGAATGCCATGGCGAATGCCTGCCCATTATGGAGAAACTGGACCAGAAGCAGTGACAGTTTAGCTGCAGGTAAAGTCCCAGGACAAGAGGGAATAGCTCCATAAGTCATCCAATACGCCAAGAGTTTCGTCCTGGAAACTCTTCAATAACCCATCTGTCAATGATGAAAAGAAAGGAAATTGCCACAGGACATGCGGGACGCCAAAACTGTTACCCTCTACAAGAACATAGGGAACAGACGTGACTGTAACAATTATCCTAGGTAGACTGAAAAACACGTTGACAGGGTGTACTCAGAAGCCAAGTGTGAGTTCCGTTCCGTTCTTTACCGTCTACATTGCCTTCTCGTCGGGGCAACTCCAAGAAAGTGTAGAGAACATAAGAATCCACTGTTCCTCACATTTATCGACCTCACCGAGGCATTGGTCAGCAGAGAAGGGTTGTTCAAGCGGATGAACAGAGCAGGCTGCAAACCCCAACTCCTCAGCATAATCAGGTCCTTCCATGACGACATGAAAGGCACTGTACAGTAAAATGGCTCAACGTCAGATCCATTTAGCATCCAGAGTGGAGTGTAACAGGGATGCGTGGTGACCCCAACGCTGTTGTGGATCTTCTTTGCTCTCCTCTTGCGGCAGGCCTGCTCTTCAACAGAGCGAATCTACCACCATACAAGATCAGATAGGAGATTGCTCAACCTTGCTATACTCAAAGCTAGAACCTAGGTGAGAGAAATCCTCATCAGAGACTTTCTCTTTTCAGACGACGCAGCAGTCGCAAAACATCTCCAGAGATATTGGTCGACCGCTATCCCGAGCATGCTTGACGTCCGGCTTGCTATTGGCCCGACAAAACAAACGTACTTGGACAAGACGTTTTGGGGACGCTCACAATCAACACACTCACAACATAAGTCCATGAGTCCACTCACCTTGGCTCCACCAACTCTGACAATCTCTCACTGGAGACAAAGCTAGAGCCCAGTGCGAGCATTAGAAAGGCTTCATCAACACTCTCCAGACTCGTCAAAAGAGGATGGAGCAGCAGCAAGCTGTACATCAAGATCCACGTCTACAAAGCATGCGTCCTCTGTACCCTCCTATAAGGGAGTGAGACTTTGACCCTGTGCTGACGTCAGGAGAAGAGGCTCAACGCATTTCATGTACTCCTCAGGCAATGGAGGCTCCACTGGCTAGGACACGTCTACATGGGATGGAGGAAGGAAGAATCCGTAAGGACATACTGCTCGGTGAATTGGCCACGTGTAAACGACCAATCGGACGTCCCAGCTGCGCTACAAAGATGTTTGTAAGTAGACTTCAATTGAACTGGACATCAACCCAGCAACATGGGAGGAAATGGCAGGCGACCGAAGTACCTGGAAACAGCTAGTTAGTGCAGAAGGGTCGTCCAAGAGGAGAACAGAAAGTGAAAGGCTAAGCAATTCTCAACAGTTTTCTCAAATACATGTAGTACATAACTTCGCAAGGCATGTTTGTAATGTACGACCATCATGCAAATCCTCTATTCACCTCAGTTGCCGCATCTTGAGGAAGTTTGTTTGATCCAAATTATTGCCCAGGTAGTTGGGTAAACATCCAACGATGGGCCACAGTTTGGGACCAGGAATCTCATCGAATGGCCTGCTCCTTTTCGGGTCCTCGTTTTTCGACGCTGTCTCCCCCAGCTTAACGACATCGGGCGAGACCACTGGATGGTCGGCCCACAAACACCATTTCTGAAAAAGACTTCGGCAAAACCCGACGCTGATGTAAAATTTGTGTGAGGTGCAATGGAGCTACAATGACTACGTATTTCTACCAACATACTGTGGCGGTACTGTTCCCGAACCAAGTTATTCCTCGGACCAGGGACTACACACAGCAATCTTAAGGCTAAAGGATGCAGGCTCGTTTTGGGTGGAAATCTACCTCCGTATGAATTGATTCTTAGACCTTCTGTTAATTAGGCAATTACACAAACACAAGGACAACTGGCAACTGAATGGTCGGTAACTCAAGTTCTTGGGGGCACCCCAAATCGACAGACAAACTCAGTCACCAATGTGTGCGCTACTGTAACTGCAGTAGCGTCAGGAAGCTGAAATGCTTCCATCCACTTTGTGCAGTGGTCGCCAACCACCATCACCCAACGATTACCATTGTCCATGACGGGCTATTGCACGGCCAAGTCAACTGCTACTCTCTCCATCGGAACACCAACTCGATACTGCTGCAGGGGCGCAACCCTTTTCTTGGCAGCCGACTTTCTACTGGCACAGATATTGCAGCCTCGGAGAAATGACCGCACGTCCGCAGACATGCCTGGCCAGAAGTAACTAGCTTTGACTTTGGCCAGAGTTTTGCTGACCCCCAAGTGACCACTTAGTTTCCCACCGTGTAACTCAGACAAGGACCTCCATCCACCTGACAATCCAGCTGACCCTCGGGATCCTTGACTTGATTCTTGAGTACTTTTTCGTCACCACCCTGGACCTGCGACAACACCGCCCCGATACCTTAACCGCTGGCATCAGTGTCCAAGATAAAGTCACCCTCAGGCACTGGGTATGACAGAACTGGGGCGGCCTGACGCCTGCCCTTCAGATCGTCAAATGCCTCCCGACAACTCTCCATATCGCAATGCATAGCTCAATGCCACGTACTGTGGAGATATGGTTGCGCGCACGTATCACTACGAAACCATGGGCCCAGCTCAATCAAGTGAACGCCAAGTGAACGCCAAACTGTCCAACAGTTCGCCCGCGCGTCGCATTATAGCACAAATTACCATAAAATTATAGCAATACACACTACAGCGAGAGCACACTCAACTCACCATTCAGTTGCCGTGTCACGCGTAGCTCCTCTATTTTCTCGTCCACACAACTTACAGCAACGCGAGGCCAGCGAACAATGGCCGTAAAAAGGGCTTCAGAAAATTCGCAATTTTCATGGCAAACCATAAACGATCCAAACAAACAAAGTTGTTTTAGGTAGTTAAAGGCCTACTTCATATATCTATCAAGGTATTTTTTTCTCAAAAACATCGCGCAGTGTTTGTGCACGAATGCGCGGCTGAACAATAGCGGCGCGTTTACCGTCAGACGGGTAAACGCGCATTGTGCTTTCACTTTGTTTACTTTGGAAAATAGATTATCGAGTGAAATTTTTCTCACAGGAGGGAGTTCAAGCGCTCCTCCAAAACAAATCTGTAAACAAAAATAACTGAACGATGAAGAGTTAACCTCAATCCCTCCAAACAACTTTTCCACACTTTCTTGATATACACTTTCTTATTATGCATTTTCGTAATTCAAGAACCCCCCCCCATTTCTTTTCCCTTATTTTTTTTAAATCCCTCCTCCTCCCAAAAAAATGATTGCAAGTAAATTGCCATTTCATTTTTGACACATTGGTCATTAGAGCACACTGAATTACTCCATCAATGAAATGAATAATTGTATTAATAATATGCTGAAACGACATCATATTTTTTTTTAACTGAACACTCACACGAGAAATTGTATGGAGATTCATTCAAATGATTGATATATTTATTAAAAACCCGAACATAAACCAATTAGAATCTAAAAGGTAAAAAAACACCTTAATTTTACAAAGTAATCAGTAAAAGCTTCTTCCCGTCCCTAGATTGATCAGGGAATGACGTCGTTCACCTCTTGTGATATTGTGTGAAGGAGATGGATCACAAACCAAAATAGTACTTTACTATAATGGAGATCAATGTTCGTACAGCACAGCGCGCTGCCAGTTGCCAGAAACTTCGCGCGTACGTACGTAGCAATCTACCTACGCGCATACATAGCACATGCGCTAAACCATTATGATGCGCTAAACCATTATGATGCGCTAAATTATAACCTATGGGGCTCTGCTAACCAATCGCGTGCGTGCATACACGCACACATTGCTAAGCCACGCCAAGTCACGGGCGTACTGTACTTATACTACAGTTCATTCATAAGATTAGAATACAATAACATGAGTTGTGCATAAAAACTACACTTTCCGTCACAATACCAAAAAAATACCAATATATATATTATGATAGGACTGTTCAGACACATACAGTTGTTGTTCATTCAGAAAGCTTATCCGTGACATAGACTGGTACGGCTGTCTAAAAGGTATTGCAACAAAATACTCGTTCAGAAGAACAAAATCACTGAACATCGTTTTAAAAACTTTGCCCAGGGCACACTTCGTCTTTAAATTGCAAAATACGTTAAATTACAAATACTGCGAGGATAGCCCATCCACTATCAAGTACATTATTCGGCTGAATGAGATTCGTATCCCGGGTGCTGATTCAGGAATTGTAAACGAGAGAGTGCGATCAGAAGTATACACCTACAACTTTTGTATCGGAAGCGCTAGCGCTAGCAGCAGAGTCAAATTACGAGATAAAACAAATTGTACGTAGATTGTCTCCCCCCCCCCCACTCAAAATGTATAGTATCTACCGAGCTGAACCTTCAACAGATAATTATTATGCACCCTAGTTATAATTGAGCACAATGCGTTGCTTCAACCATTCGGTTTTCTTTTTTGAGTGTGAGAAAAGATAAGACACATACACGTAGCTGCAAACTCGACATTTCGATCTGCCTAAACTATTAAATGAGAATTATTGAGAGAGGGATCCACTGTGGTTCGACGAAGCTTGACGATATAGCAAGCTACGGATTCACATGCTGACCGGAAAAGTTAGCGTGTCATTGTGTACCAAGTTCGAAGTCTATAATACTAAAAATTGTATTCTTATGTAGCGCATTACATTTTGATACAAATCCCAACGCGCTTTACAGTTTAAAAATACAACTTGTTAAAATTGTCTGATAAAAGTAAAAAACTAGCTTAACAATTGAAATTCAACAAATTCATTAACAATCACAGCAAGCTCTTTAAACAGCATTTTTTTTATTTTATACGTGCTGACTTGAAACGAAAAAGTAAGTGCATTTAGTTAAAAAGCGCAGAGTTCTACAGTACAATATTGTGCGCCTGACAATAAGGAAGTTTATTCAATCGACAGATTGCTGATAAAAGGCACGCCTTTCATAGTGCTCTCGGTTACGAGTGAAAAGTGTGATCTATTTAGTTTAAAATATATCGAACTTTATTATATTCCTTTATTAACATCCAGTCAACATACAGCTTGTATCATATTTAGACCTATAGTATAGTACATGTAGTTTATATTTACAGTAGTTGACCACGATGACTAAATTTATGATACTGATCGTGATATCGATCATGACGAGAGTAAATTTTCATCAAAGTCTAACATTCAGTCGCAGTTACGATGCTCTTGGGTATGGGATTGAGTTTGTATAACGGCGCCCTCAACGTTCATGGAAGGCGAGTCTCAGGGGCTCAGATGCAGTCAGGTTGATACCGATCCATTTCAGGTCAGGTTCACTGTCGCACAGGTTCTCGATACGAAACTTTGACACCAACTGATTAAAAACAAATAAAGAGCGTCTCATGTCACTAACATGTCATGAATCATTACTTCTCAAATTTAGTATATCAAGTTTAACTAGATTCATGTGGGTGTTTCATCGAATTCTAATTATTAAATTTGACACACTGGTTCTTTATGCTTTGTTGGTTAGGCTATTCTTTATTTTAATTTTATTTTTTAACAAAAGAGACTTGTCTTGAATAAACTTTATTGAAAACAAACAGTTTTCGAGATTGAGTAGGCCTACTAGTAAGGGACGCATAAGATGTTTAATTAGGCTCCGTCGACTGTCAAGTTATTTTTATTTTAGTTTGTGAATTTCAATTGCCAGATCAACCTTGCAAATCCTTAATGACCGATGTTGTTTTGTTTAAAAGTAAGGTTCTTGGCAAGTAAGATTTCTATATAATGTGTATACGGAAAAAGCGATTTACAATACAGTGCACCCTTCAACGTTTCCCAAATATGACACCTTTTAATTCTTCGGGAGACAATTTGCACTCTTATGTCATGTCTTGGATACCGAAATTGCATTTTTCTAAAACGATTTCCATAGTTGTCGTGCAGTTTACCATTTGATCTTCATTGTTGACCAGTTGTAACACAAAACTGCAATTGAAACTTCGTAAACAAAATCTAAGCGTTATTCCCTAAATACAACTGAAAATTGCGCAGATATTGAGACTTTCCCATAATGTGCTGCGAATAAGGCCTGGGCTCAGCAAACTCTTTTCAAATTTCTCCTACACAACGGGCCCCGCCCGTATTACTTGGCTACGGCTGGGAATAACACACTACTTTAGTCAATTGGCAGCGACCTCATCCGCCTCCATAGATAGGCAAGTGCAGTGCGCTATTGTCGGCCGTATAGCAAAGTAATTCAGACGCGACCTTAGTGTTGGTAACATTTTAAAATGGATCGGTCTACATTGTTTCTAACTTACGTTGGCGAGTATAATGTACATTTCTTGGTCGACCAGCCTCCTCCCCACGCAGCTCCGCGGTCCGAATCCAAACGGAAGGTGTGAAAACGCCATGTCTGGCGCCTTACGAACATCTAACCAGCGCTCTGGTCTGTATTCATGGGGCTCCTCGAAAATGTCTGGGTCTCGACACATGGTTTGGAAACACAAATTGATGTAGGTCTATTGTGAATTCGTGAGATAAAAAAGACGAAATCATTTCAAAAGTTTGGGAGCAACTTGAATCGGAGTAAATTAACCTGTGGAATGGTTTTTATCTGATTAATGACCAAAGATTTATCTACTTTTCAACTGTGGTAATGTAGCAGGTTGTTAACTACCAGAGTGACTGTATAGGTGATATGCTTGACAGATCCTTTTTTATTTCAGCCATCTTTGAGGTGTCTGTATTTCCACAGGGAAGATTGAAACTCTTGTGCATTCATTGATAATTAATTAAAATAACAAAAGACACCTCAAGGGGTTGTTGAAAGCAAAGGTTCTATACCCCACAGCTCATATGGCGGATAGAATTACTTTCCACTTACTCCTTTAGGAACATTGTAGCCATTTAGTGCGATATCATGGTCCAGAATTCGTGATGTTCCGGGGATTGTCATGAACATTCTACCACAGAGGAAAGAAAGACAAAAGGAGCTTGAGTTAAAATATTGCTATCTAGTTTAAACATGTAACCTTGGACACATGGTTTCACAAGTTTACGTTATTCATACCTAGTGTACGTGGACATTCCTTTGTTTTCGTGTAGGCCCGGCCCCTAGTTATGAAAAACCCGAGGAATAAAACCTTATTTTTCTCGTACCGTGAATACATTTTCAGCCCAAATTTTCGATCATGATGTCCTCTTCATTTTGCGGCCGATTACCGTAACCCAAACATTCCTCTAACTTAGCTTCCAGAGAGGGAGGAACCTTGTGTGGACCTTTGGAAGTCCACACAACGTCTTCACTGCCTGCACTATGTGGACATCTTTTGTTCACAGGTCCACACAGTGACTTCAATGCCTGTTCATTTCATTTCTTTTGCATGAATCATTCTAAGAAGCACAGATGTGGTCTAGTCGTGTATTTGAATTGATCCCAAGATCTATAATTTCAAAACCGGCGTAAAACTTCACAACTTTCAAAAACATGATGTCTGTACAAAAATACCAAGAAAATTGCAGCGCCCTCATTGTGTCATTGAAGCGAAACTTGCGCCATTGCAGCGTCCTCATTCTGTCACTGCAGCGAACTGCAGCGCCCTCATATTGCCATTACAGCGAAACTTGGGTCACAGCGCCCTCATTGTCATTGCAGCGAAAATTGTGTCATTGCAGCGAACTGCAGCGCCCTCGTTGTGCCATTGCAGCGAAAATTGGGTCACAGCGCCTTACTGTGTCATTGCAGCGCAAATTGTGTCATTGCACCGCCCTCATTGTACCATAGCAGCGAAAATGTGTCATTGCAGCGCCTGCAAAGAGTTTGGCCTATATTGAGAGCTGTAATCAAGTCCTCAAAATCAGTCACGAATGAACTGTGTCTAAAGCATTTCTTAGTCATTGCTCTCCTGTGATTTGTCTTATGAGTTACTAAGGATTTAACTTGAGACTGATTACTACAACTCTGTTTCAATATTTCACAAACGTTGGCCCATTCCTGATCATTATTTGAAAGCCAAGAAGTAACATTCCGTGCGACCACCATGTGAAGTGTATTTCATTCATGGGATTTGCATGGTGCGTTGTGCGTTAGTTCCTCTTCTTCGTCTTTATGATACTCATGCACTCAAATGTTCACAGTGTAATATAAGTAATAATAAGGCCCCACAAACCTGCTGGATTCTTTGACGCAACATTTCAGGTACCGCAGATCCTTCAGATTATTGGCTGTTACTCTTCCCCCTTGAAGAACCTCGCTGACTTCCTCATACAGTTTCTCCTGTACGCGGGGGTTGCTAGCTATGCAATACAGCAGCAGGTTTGTCGAATTTGAGGTCTGTTGGAAAAGGTTTTTTTTTTTTCGTGTGTGAAACGCATTTTTCTGTGGGCTTATTACAAAGAAAAGGTTGTTTAGTTTAAGAAAAGCCACCTCCCATATGGCCAAAGCTGACTATTTTTCTAGCAAAAATGTTCATTCAACATGACGAGCAATGATCGACTTCTCTGACGATGTTCTTTAGATATCATGTTTCAGTTTTTTTTTCTCGTGAAGCCGATCGGAGCATACTGATCGGAACGTCGAGTTCACAACCATCCAGTTCTTTTCAGAGCCACACATCTTCTCAAAAGAGATTCTACAACATGGTGTTACCGCAAACCCTCTCTAGTTTAATACACTACATATCCATGCAAAGTTTCAAATCTGATTTATGTTTCAGCTACGGTTTAGGTTAAATTGTGTGTCTTGAACTGCTCACGATCATACAAGCCTCCTTGATCCACTTCTAAGTAATATTGACTTCTGTATTAAAGGCAAGCTATTATGCAGCATCCACTTACCGTGTCCATACTAACTTGAAGTAGATCTTGCATATGGCCCAGAAGTTCCTTGGCTGGTGTGTTCTTGGCCAGGAAATAAGAGTAAACATCGGGGGCAGAGTCGCCCGTAAATTCCTCGCTTTCAAGGGTGTCCTTTAAGGGAGAGGCGATTTGATAAATAAAAAAAGAGGAATATATTAAGACATTTGTAACCTTTGACGAAGATCAGACAATATATACCAGACTGTAGTTTATCACTGACAAGAAAACTAAAGATTGTTTCAAGTGCAGTGTCATCTACAATTATATGCTGTTCATGTGACAGCCGAAGCTATTCGCTTGCAAGTGAGTGGGCCAGGTTCGGTTCACTTTGATTAGTTTGCCACGCGAATTATACTGTAATAAACGTATATACAAATGGAAGATGTGTGCATTATTACCGGTATGTGTAAGTTTGTTTCTGCATTCAATAGGGGACGTTGAACAGTAGAGGACAGTAGGGTCCCCAATTCCCGAAGGTCCCCAATTTACGATCGTGTACAAATATATATGGGCAGTGGGTAGTGGCTGCGGTCACTACTTCAGGGCGGGACGACCCTGCTTGACACGAGTCCAGGGCTCAGCTGGCCTAAGCTGACAGTACCTGGTATGAGCCCATGTCTAGGGTTGCGGACCCCAGCTATGGGTTAATAGCCTCGCTGCCTTGTGAGTGCCTTGGGAAAGTCAAAGGCTAGGGAGTAAAACCCAACAGAAACCCGGAGTGGAGCCCCTAAGGCGGTCTGGTGCTTGATTCAACACCATTCCGGCAACTCCTGCAGCCAAGTTGGTGCTAAATGTATTGCTGTGCTCTTGCAGAGCTCTTGCTCTTGCAGTTATGAGTTTAAAGCCCAGTCCAATTGGCGTAAGACACGGGCGCTACGGGTTGCCTCCGACGGTGGGAGGAATCATCGTGTTCCACTGGTCAGCAGAAATCAGTAAAACTGCCAGTCTTGCGGTTAGCAAGCTGGAACGTCAGGACCATGCGTCCTGGCATGTCGGATGACCTACTCAAGGTCGACACACCAGAAAGACATCCATCATCAACCGCGATCTCAAGAGGCTGAACATTGAGTCACACGCCTTCAGGTCATCAGAAGATGGTGCCGCACACAAGTGACGGGAAACTGTTCAACCTCTCGCGTCCAGCAAAGACCAAAGTACACAGTGTTCTGATCAGAGAGATGCTGTTCGCAGATGATGCTGCTCTTACATCTCACTCCGAGGAGGATCTCCAGAGGCTTATCAATTGCTTCGCACTTCCATGCAGAGACCGTGGTCTGACCATCAGTCTCAAGAAGACCAACATCATAGGTCAGGACGTCAGCAAAAGCCCCAGCATCAGCATCGGAGATCACACCCCCGAGGTGGTGGAGGCCTTCACTTACCTCGGCTCCACGGTAATATCTCCTACAACCTGTCCCTCGACGCTGAACAGAGCAAACGCGTCGGCAAGGGAGCATCAACGATGGCTCGACGATCCAAGCAGGTATGGGAGAATACCCTGCTGACCACCAACACAAAAATGAAGGTGTACCAAGCCTGTGTGCTCAGCACCTTACTGTACGTTAGTGAGTCGTGGGCACCATACACACGCCAGGAGCGCCGTGTGAATGCCTTCCACATGCGCTGCCTAAGGTGAATCCTGGGCACTTAATGGCAGGACTATGTCCCAAACAAGGATGTCTTAAAAACAAGCAATTAAAAACTTGTGTTTGATTGGGTCATTATCTTTGTGCCACTTGAACATGAAAGAACGTTTGTGTTCGCGCAAATTGATATCTCACCTTCATGCTGTCATTGTATTCCTCCATGAGTTTGGCTGTTATGGCGCACATGTTCAACCAGTGTCCCTTCATGGCTTCGTACGTCTTACTTGGGAAGTACCTGAAGAGTTGAAATGCCGACATGTCCAGTTTTGTCGAATGAGGCCAGAGGAGGGCGTTTTCAGTCATAAAACGGTGTGCGTCTAAGTCAAGATCAACGCCTGGACGAATCCCTCCAAGACGCCTACTCAGTGCAATCGTTCCCATCACTACATGGGGAGAATTAATTGTAGACATTGTAAGCGTGAGATGACTAATTATTGTGATGATATTTCAAAAATACTTTTGTATATATTTAACCCTAACTCCCTAAGCCTTTTTGCGAGGATGTAGCATCAATCCTGCAAAATCCTTGAATAGCATTATAGCCTCAATCCTGCAAATTCCTCCAATATTTCTCGAATATGGTCCGTGGAGGGGTGACCACTGCCTCAATCCTGCAAAATCCTCCGGCAGTGACTGTCAATATGTTGAGGCTTGGCCAGTGACAACCTGGAGCAGTACGGAGGATTTCAAGCATAATCCACCAGGCCTATATGTATGCATGGCTGATCAAAAACAACACAAGGTCCGGCCCAAGACCTTGACAAAGTGCATCCTGCGAAATCGGTAACGCACTTTTGCCATGTAACCTCAATCCTCCAATTCCTCCACTTTGGCAAAGAGGATTTTGAAGGATTCAGGGCGGTTAGGGTTAAGAAAATTGATGATGTAATTATTTGAATCGTGTTTTCCTGTCTAGGCCTATTTCATTTGGATTGGTTTAGATAGCTCTGGGACTGTAAAATTCAACTCACTTTCCAGCGCGCTTTTCATGATTTCTGTCAGAAGATTTGGAACCTCCCCGGGCATCAACTGTTGGCCATTGACCTCGCGCGGTCCACCTGCCGCCAACTGGCGAATGTGCTCCACAAAGTCCTCCACCACGTCATTGAGGCGGGGAATGAAGTCCTCAGCTGACTGGGGCCTGAGCACCTTGCGGTTCCACAGACTACGTCCCTTCTTCCAGCGCTCGCCGTTTCTGCGAAGAGAACAGAGCTTGGAGTTACAGGGTGGTGCAAAAGAAGGAGACCCACTTTTTACAGCGGGGAGTCAGGTTGGCGTAACGGTACTTTCCTCGCCTTCCACCGATTCAATATGTGGATTGGGTTTTCAGTCCCCATACCTGATTCCGTGGGTTTTCCCTAGAATATCTTCTGGGACTTTCCTCCCACCTCTAAAACAGTAGTGTCATTTCTGCTCATTCTCATTGTCTTCTCTCTAAGTTGGTGTGATGTTTCACCTGGTGTGCTTTACCAATACAGATACAGATTTTCACTTCTTGTTGAGCACATTTCAAAAATTCAATTTAATGGTATAAAAATATTGATCTTTAAACATGTGACGAAAATTGATTGCCAATGCATATTTTGTCTCTGAGATATGGTAGTTTAAAAATGTAATGTGCCAAACCTATTTGCACACGGACGGCTTTATTCCATCCGATTGAGTGAGCTCCGGAGCTTGGTTTGAAGGCAAAAAACTCTACACTAGACTTACACGTGGACAACGGTGGTTTTGGTGATTTGTATTCAAAGTAGCATAGGGCCTATAGCACTATTCTTGCAATTTGTTTAAAGTTTTTTTTTCACCATGTATGGTTGAAGAACTATACTTCACTACATTATAAAAACAAAAACCACAGTTCAAATAAATTAAGTAAGTAGGTTACATTTTCCGTCAAAAGTGGGTTTCCTTCTTTTCGCACCACCCTGTATATCGCACTAACGTTAACATATGAACAACTATAAACTAAATAGTCCAAACCAAAAAAAAGACATATATATCCATATATATGGAGAAAATGAGACACGATTTCGGGAACCAGTTTTGAGCTTGGCACATCATGCATGGTGTTGTTGAACCGATGTAATTTTGTCCAAACAAAACGGTTTCAAAGTCTTGCACTTTTCGTTCAACAAACTAATGCAAATGGCGAACATCAAGGGGGGTTTGCATGACCAGTTTTTGAATAAAAAAACAATGAAAATGGGAGTGTCTATGTTCATTGCAACACGGGTATGCTTTTAAATGTAATGTCAGATCTAAGACCACTAAGGGACCTGGCTAAATTTTTGAATGAACAGATAAGCTCCAAAATTATCATTCTATATAGCACTGATGAAAATGTACCTCTCAATGCTGGACGACGAGGCATGGCCGTCGGGCTGTTGAGACGTCCGGACATGAAACATGGATGTTCTTGTCGGGATCAAGTGATAAACTTGACATATGTTTATGGACAAACATAGGGCTGTTTCGGTAGCTTTTTGTAACATATGACATGTGTTCCATCAACGATGGATGTGTAGTTCTGTTTATAATAAATGGTGGCATATAATATGTGTTTCCATTCTCATAGAGCTTTGAATTATGACGTCACATGTCACGTGATGACGTCATGATGACGTCATATAAAGTTTCATCTATTACTATAATATTATGGTAAAGAACAACTTAGCCAGAGCATACCTCGTTGAAAGCAAGTTCACATCTTTCACCAATTTTAAATTACAAGGCACTTCCGGTTTCAACCAGAAGAAAGGGTCACGTGATTTTGCACATATCCCAATTTAGGTGCATACCAAGTTTCCACCCAATCAGACCTGTAGTTATGTAGATATTGGCCTTCAAAATATGCAATTTTGAATATGACGTCAAATGCCACGTGACGACGTCACATGTCACGTGATTACGTCATCGTAACGTCACTTAATTTTTTATCTATAAAACATCCCGGTTTAGGTACATACCAAGTTTCAACCCAATCGGACCTGTAGTCATGGAGATATAGGCCTTCAAAGTATGCACCTATATTGTGACGTCACATGTCACGTGATGACGTCATCGTGACGTCACTTAAATTTTCATCTATAACACATTCCGGTTTAGGTCCATACCAACTTTCAACCTAATCGGACCTGTAGTTCTGGAGATATAGCCCAATCTGTCAGATCTAGCCGAATTCTGCTAGAAAATGGTCACAACAGAAAATCGCATATAATGTTACGTCACGTGACTCATGATGACGTCACGATGATGTCAATGTTCGGCACACAACTTCAGATGCTGGTCTAAGTGTGTGCCAAGTATAAAGTCAATCGGATTGATTTTAGTGCCCAAAGTGCCGGTAACAAATAAACGTGTACAAATGCTATGGGACAAATGACTGAAAAAGAAAAAAAAAAAAAACTAGAGCTATGTCTGTTCGATGAACAGAACGTAGGGCTTTTCCGTATTTTTTTTTTTTTGGGGGGGGGGTGTTTTGTCCATATGCAATTAGATACCGTAGTTAGAGGACTAAATTCTTCACATACATGTATAGGACTTCACAATTTACACCTTTTAACATGACGTCACATGTCCCGCAATGACGTTATCGTAACAACACCATAAATCCCATGAAAGAAAGTGTAACATCTAAAACACATCCCAGTTTAGGTGCATACCAAGTTTCAACCCAATCAGACCTGTAGTTATGTAGATATTGGCCTTCAAAATATGCAATTTTGAATATGACGTCACATGCCACGTGACGACGTCACATGTCACGTGATGACGTCATCGTAACGTCACTTAATTTTTTATCTATAAAACATCCCGGTTTAGGTACATACCAAGTTTCAACCCAATCGGACCTGTAGTCATGGAGATATAGGCCTTCAAAGTATGCACCTATATTGTGACGTCACATGTCACGTGATGACGTCATCGTGACGTCACTTAAATTTTCATCTATAACACATTCCGGTTTAGGTCCATACCAACTTTCAACCTAATCGGACCTGTAGTTCTGGAGATATAGCCCAATCTGTCAGATCTAGCCGAATTCTGCTAGAAAATGGTCACGACAGAAAAATCGCATATAATGTTACGTCACGTGACTCATGATGACGTCACGATGATGTCAATGTTCGGCACACAACTTCAGATGCTGGTCTAAGTGTGTGCCAAGTATAAAGTCAATCGGATTGATTTTAGTGCCCAAAGTGCCGGTAACAAATAAACGTGTACAAATGCTATGGGCAAAATGACTGAAAAAGAAAAAAAAAAAAAACTAGAGCTATGTCTGTTCGATGAACAGAACATAGGGCTTTTCCATATTTTTTTTTTTTTTTTTTGGGGGGGGGGTGTTTTGTCCATATGCAATTAGATACCGTAGTTAGAGGACTAAATTCTTCACATACATGTATAGGACTTCACAATTTACACCTTTTAACATGACGTCACATGTCCCGCAATGACGTTATCGTAACAACACCATAAATCCCATGAAAGAAAGTGTAACATCTAAAACACATCCCAGTTTAGGTGCATACCAAGTTTCAACCCAATCAGACCTGAAGTTATGTAGATATTGGCCTTCAAAATATGCAATTTTGAATATGACGTCACATGCCACGTGACGACGTCACATGTCACGTGATGACGTCATCGTAACGTCACTTAATTTTTTATCTATAAAACATCCCGGTTTAGGTACATACCAAGTTTCAACCCAATCGGACCTGTAGTCATGGAGATATAGGCCTTCAAAGTATGCACCTATATTGTGACGTCACATGTCACGTGATGACGTCATCGTGACGTCACTTAAATTTTCATCTATAACACATTCCGGTTTAGGTCCATACCAACTTTCAACCTAATCGGACCTGTAGTTCTGGAGATATAGCCCAATCTGTCAGATCTAGCCGAATTCTGCTAGAAAATGGTCACAACAGAAAAATCGCATATAATGTTACGTCACGTGACTCATGATGACGTCACGATGATGTCAATGTTCGGCACACAACTTCAGATGCTGGTCTAAGTGTGTGCCAAGTATAAAGTCAATCGGATTGATTTTAGTGCCCAAAGTGCCGGTAACAAATAAACGTGTACAAATGCTATGGGCAAAATGACTGAAAAAGAAAAAAAAAAACTAGAGCTATGTCTGTTCGATGAACAGAACGTAGGGCTTTTCCGTATTTTTTTTTTTTTTTTTTGGGGGGGGTGTTTTGTCCATATGCAATTAGATACCGTAGTTAGAGGACTAAATTCTTCACATACATGTATAGGACTTCACAATTTACACCTTTTAACATGACGTCACATGTCCCGCAATGACGTTATCGTAACAACACCATAAATCCCATGAAAGAAAGTGTAACATTTTGTTAGCGGAATAAAATCTTAAAAAATTAAAAAATCATAAAAATATCAACCGATAATGTCATGACGACGTCATTTCAAATTTTGCATACTTGTGACATTATCTACCTATCCACAAAGTTTCATGAGGATGGGAACTTCTGTTATATGTGTTTTGGAAATTCGCGTTTTTGATAACGTCATCGTGACGTCACAAATTAAAAAAAAATGTGTAAATATACCTGTTACCTAACAAACAAAATACAAAAGGAATTTTGAATTTTTCATGTTGCGTTCGTGAGATACGGCTTAAAGGTCCAAAAATTCAAAAGTTCATATAAAATCGCACGATTACGTCATCATGACGTCACCTCATTTGTTATCTATAACACATCGCAGTCTACCGACACACCAAGTTTCAACCCAATCGGACTTACTGTTCTGTATAGGACTTCAAAATATGCACGTTTGGGATGACGCCACGTGTCCCATGATGATGTCATCATAACAATACCTGTTAGTCCACATATTTTTTAATGTAGTCTTGATGTGCACCAAGTTTGACGTTAATCCAATAAAACAAAGTGTAAAATTTTGTAAATGCAATAAAATTTTAAATATTTAAAAAATCATTAAAAAATCAACCGATGATGTCATGGTGACGTCATTTCAGATTTTGCATACTTGTGACACCATCTACCTATCCATCAAGTTTCATGACGATTGTGCCTTCCCTTATATGTGTTTTCAAAAATGGCATTTTTGATGACGTCATCGTGACGTCACACTTTTTTTCCAAAATTTTTGGCAAACACGTATTACCTAACAAACATAATACAACAAGAATTT